AGAGAAAGAAAAAAAAGGGAGAGGGAAAGAAGACAAAAACTAATTAAAAATACAATCATGGCAAGGCAAGTGGGTGGTTAAAACAGGCAAGCTCTTGTGAAGTGAGGGGGTGGCAGTATTGACTGGCACACATCAATACCCAGGGAGATCCCTTTTGCTCTTCAAAGCTGGTCTAATTCAAACTTAACAACCCATTAATAAATAAGCTGTCCTGTCTCTCCCCCTAGAAAACATGTGTTAACCGAAGCCACAAACAGGACAGAAATTCCAGTTTCAAAACTTTCACTTACAGGCAAAGCCAATACTGATGCCAGCTGTAAAATCAGAACTCCTCTGTGAGCTAACAAGGTAAAAATCAAAATGTGAATGCAAGTAGTCAACCAAAGTACTTAAAGATGCTGTGTGCATGTCTAGATACCCTAGAATGGTATTCTTGCCATCAGCCACATTTCCAATACTAAAAGAAAAACACCTTGAGGTATGCTCTCTCTCTCAAGACCTTTTTTCTCCTTTTTAAATCAACGCTTTAGGGGTAACTTGATATATATATACCAAAGCACGATCCTACATTTGGGAAGAAATACCGGCGCTGAACGTAATGCACAGGTGAGACCAGCCTTATCTGCCTGCTATGGCTGCCTCAGGTAAGATCACCTCTACTCTGCAGGCTGCCGACGCAACACCAAGCGCTGACACTGGGTTCCAAATGGCACGACACTCATCCTCCCATCTTGCAGTGCAAGCAGAAGCTGGGTTAGTTTATTTCACAAAGGCACAGTTTAGGAGAGACAATGAAGCCTTCACCATCTTCCAGTACACAGTGAGCACTGCGCTGTTTTACCACGCTGCCAGCAGTGTGGGCTTCCTTCCTGCAGGTAACCAGCAGGGTGGGGCCCAACTCCAGAGAGTCAGCTCAGCCCACACAACACCTGTGGAAGACGCTGATCTCGGTGTCGCACCACCACTGAAAACACAAGTGTTAGAGCCCATCCCACGATGAGTCCACACAGAACACTCCGGAGGGATGAAGAATGGAAAAGTGCAATGCTATTACCGGAAGAGTGAAGAAGGCAGGGTGCTTTCCTTCGTCCTCGTATTTGCCTTCCGTGGAGCTCCCGGCCTCCATCGATTTGGAAGTGGTGTTCTTGCCGATACCCATCATTAAGAGAAGTCGAGCCGTCCTGCACTGCTGCTGGCCTGGAGCGGATGGAGTGAAGGCTTACTCAAGCCAGAAGCCTAGGAGGAGACCCGGCTTCCAGTGCCCAGAGTACCCAGCTCTCAGATGGAGATGAAACCTGTCAGCGCCATTTCTTAGCACCTGCAAGAGACAGAGAAGCCAAATCACGTGGAAGCACACAGCATGGGACCTGGGGTCACTGAATTCCCTGCACAGAATAAAGTCACAGTGTGTATTAGGCCCAAACACTTACAATTTTCAAAGACCCACTCTCTTCTTCATTTATAGCCACTGTTTCTGAATGCCCTAAAATGGATTGTCACAACTATCACAATAGTAGGGAGAAAATATGACTCTAGTAGGCCTCTGACATGGGTTGTGACATACACACCTCATAACCTAGCACTTTCTAACAACTGTCTGCAGTGATGGAAATGCTCGGTATCTGTCCTGTCCAACAGTCATCCCTGGTCATACGTAACTACAATGTGCTTGAAACATGGCTGCTGCAAATGAGCTGACTTAAAAGAAGCCAAAACATTATCAATCAAGTGACAACATAAATCAAAGAGAAATTTGTACCCTTTCCCTTGCCCCCAAAGAGGAAGTAATGTGACAAGAGACAAGGAGAACAGAGATGGGAGAGGAGTTGGACCACTAGACCCAAGATGGTCTTGATGAGCCTAGACAAATCTCACCAACGCTGCCACTTCAAGAAAGAAATAACTAACTGAGCCAGGCATGGTGGCACACGCCTGTAATCCCAGCACTCCAGGGGCTGAAGCAAGAGGATCACTGCAATTTTGAGACCAGACCAGCCTGGGCTACAAAGTGAGCTCAAGGCCAGCCTGGACTGCACAGCAAGACCGTCTCAAAAAAAAAAAACAAAACAAAACAAACAAAACTTGACTGTTGTAGTCAGGGCTTACGAGAGAAAAGATTTAATACAGGACACATACTTTACAGGATTAGTTTATAATATTCATCCAAAGAGTCAAATGCAAAAGAGTGTAGGAGATCTATAAACACACTAATGACCCAAAGAATCCAGCTGAAGTCCTGGATCCAGCTAGAGGCCTAGAGCCCACGACAATGTCTCATGCCAAGTCTGTACCAAGAAGGTGCACTGGGAAAGCCCAGAGGTCAGCAGTGGAAGCCAGAAAGTCTGCACCAGCAGGATGAAGGACTGTGCCCACAGGCTGAGGGATCTGCACTGGAGCAAGGAAGCAATAGTAAAGGTAAGGACCAGAGGTGCCTGAAAAGACCCTCAGCCATCCTCAGCAACAGTGAGGACCTGAGCTCCTCTGACGATAACAGCTGAGTTCATATCAGGAGAACCAGCAGGATAAGCTTCTCCAGGACAATCAACAGCACCATCTTCCCCTCCAGTTCTGCATTTATGCTGTTGGTGACAATCCTCAATCCTCAGGTGAGCCTTCCACACCCAGAACCACACTGACTCAGTTCAGCTGGGTGTTATAAACTGACCATTAGTTAATCCACCACACTCCAAAACAAAGAGAAAAAAATCTAAGCCAGGCCTGGCAAGAGACTATAACCCAGCACTCTAGAGGCTGAGGCAGGAGGATCACAAGCTTAAAGACATCCTAGGCTACACAGGAGACTCTGTCTCAAAAAGAAAAAAAAAAAAAAAAATCTAAGAGAAAGTCAAAATCAGGAAGCTTCTGGAACATCTAGGCAGCTCAGTTTTGGTGAAGCAGCAGAAAATCAAATCCCAATTTCAAAGCATGAATTATGAACCAGACTATAAAAGCGATCCACCCTAGATGAACAAATATTTGCACAATTTGGCTTCAAAACTGAGGGTGCATGGGCTCCCTACAAAAGCTGACACGCACACAACACAGTGTGCCTCAGAATGCCTGGATTTCTAAAAATAAAGGTGTAACACAAGCGGCCAGGGTGGGGAGGTTACAGCACTTTCACGGGCCTGATTCTGGTTATATCAGATCTTAACCACAAGTTAGTTTCCCACTGAGAGCGAATTACCCAGATTATTACCCAGCCCTCCACCCTGCAATTGCGCAGCCAGCTTGCGGGGGCGGGGTGCAGTTGCTGACAGGAGACACTGCTCAAGCACTGTCACAGAGATCTCACTCACTAGTACTTTGGGGAGGGAATAAAATGTAAGCAAATAAGAGAGGATTATGCAAAAGCGGAGTCCTATAGTTGGAGGGCAGAAAGGAAATAGTTTGCCCCAACATCAAGTTGCATCAGAGAAACAGAGAGAACTGGGTGTATGCGGCATGCTCTTATGAGGCAGGATGCTGGTTTACGTTTTCATCCACAGCTGTTTAAACCAGCTGTTCTCAACCCAGGGTGATCCTTCCGCTCTCCAGGGACGAGTAGCAAGGTCTGGAGGCCTTGGGCTTCACAGCTGGCAGCGAGCCAGCAGCATGAGGGTGGGGGCAGGGCTGCTGCATGTCATCCAGGGCAGAGGGCAGAGGTCCAGGCAGGGGCAGCAGGGGCCACAACTGGAGGGAGAAAGAAGAGGGCAGCGACTGCTGATACTGAAATGTGTCCTTGGAACTATTCTGGTACAGTTCACAGAACGCAGAGCATGCCACCCCAAGCACCAAGGCTGAGGAAGTGGGCCTCAAGGCCAGGAACCTTGTACCAGCCTGAGATCAGAGGGCTCATCCATACGGCATGAAGTCAGGATGGGTAAATGCCAAGGTTCTGAGGCAGAGTGCAAAAAGATGAAAGGAAAGCGGCAAGGCCAGAGTGGAGTGAGGGTCTGCATTTGAATTTGCGTTAAAGTAAGAAGAAACATCTCCCAGGGATTCCAGCGCAGGGTGAAGGTGCTCCTGTGCCCTCTTCCTGCTGCTTGCAATAACAGAAAGCACTGTAAACCCAGTGCTCTGCTCACTGTAAACCCTGTACTACACGGCGAGACCCTACCTCAAAAAAAAAAAAAAAAAAAAAGAAAAAAGAGAAAAAGAACCCACAAAACCAAAAACAACAACAAAAACAACCAGAAAACAATGAGCAAGCCACACATGGTCTTGTCCCCGACCATCTATGAGAGAGAGGGGAAGGAGGCAGCGAAGGATGAAAGACCATGATGACAATGACAAAGCCAGTAAGAACAGCAGTTTTCCACTGCTAAGGATCTACCTGTGGCAGGAAATCATTACATAAATGGCAATTATTTGTGGCCAGTGACTGTAATATCACTAGATTTGCCCATTAACTCTACAAAGTGAGCCTCAAAGAAGTAAAGTGTCTCAACAGAACATACAGCCATAAGCAGTGGAACAGGGTTCAAACTCTAATGTATTTCTCATCCATCCTAACTGCTTCCTCAGTGAGACATGGAAGCTGTCCTTTCCCTGCTCGGCTTCCAGCCACCCGTGAGCACGGCCACAGCGAGGCTGGAGCTGTGAGGAGTGGGGCACACGGTGGAAGGTCTTTTCCCGGGGTGCTGCTCTGGCCCTGGCAGCTGCCTGGCTGGGCGTCAGGGGGCCATCCCCTTGCTGGACTGCAGCTGTAGTAATGGTCCTCAGACCCCTTGATGAGCACTGACAGGGCTGCCACATTGGGCCAGGTGAGGCCCATACAAGCCATAGACCACCAAAGATCAGGGCCCGATATTCTGCAAATGATCCCAATCAGTGCCCTTCAACATAAACAAATCCGGGCTGGGGATTTAGCTCAGCGGCAAAGCGCCTGCCTGGCAAGCGCAAGGTCGTGAGTTCGGTTCCCGGTACCGGAGAAAAAAACCAAAAAATAAAATAAAATAAACAAATCCGCCTACAAATCCTGGGTGTTGTTTCAGTGTTTCTGCTTGCTTTCAGTGTTTCTGGTGCATTGGCCAGGAAAACTGACCGTACTGACCTCTTTGGTCACTGGTTGTGACCCTCAATGATAGAGCAAGGACCTCTCCAGGTCCCCAAAGGAAGGCAACCCCCACCCCCGGATTTCATAAGTCCCCTCGGAGGTTTGGAGGAGGATTCCTGGCTCCCTGCTTGAATCGTTCCCACTGGACCCCAAAGGGAGGAGGATGTAATCTGTCTGTCTGCCTGATTCCAGTAAGACCCCCAGGGGCACTTCAGTCAGTCTGTCAGTCCTGCTCAGCTCAAGCAGAACAGCTTGATCAATTCTTGGAATGTTCAACCCCTGAGTGTCTGCTGAATGAGTGTGAGTGGACCAGACGGCATAAGCAATAGGCTGCTCCATCTGTGCACCAAGACTGGGAAGCACTGGTCACTGTGGCTGCCTGGGCCCTCACTTGCGGTTCTGTGAAGATCAGCACATGGCGTAACGGAGACCTTGCACTCTCCTTAGCTAAGTCGCATCTAAGTCCCTGCAAGGGGCGTGGCCAGATGGGCATCTGAATGGTCTCTCTCTGAGAGGCACCCACCCTTTGTCCGTTGTGCCATTGTTCAAGCATACGGAACACACGTGTAGGAAGTCAGAGATGGGAATTAATTAGTCAAAACTCACAGTCCCTGACTGCAGAAGAAAAGGACTTTTATGGAGTTAAAAATGAAATCAAACCACTCCCTGCATCTCAAAGAAAAAAAGGGAAAAAAGGCCCATTCTTCCTGAGAATTCTGCCTATTAAACTGGTTCCAGCTAGTCATTGCCTGCATTCAGCCATAGAGGCCCTCCCCACCTACCCCCAACCTTCTGCTTCAGTTACACCTTTCCTGGTCAGATGGCATCATCTGACACCCACCCAAGATGACTGCCAGTAATTCCTTCTGAGTTCCACATTTTGACTGAGGAAAAACTCGATTGTCAGCCCTGACAAATGAGTTACCCTAACCCTGTCGGGCCTGAATAAATAGGACAGACGGAGCTTTATCAAACTGGGCCCCTGAGAGCCCACAGTCATTGCACACAAGTCAGAGGCAAACCTGTGACTTTCCTGGCCGAAAGTGGAACAGAACTCTCTGCCTTCAAAAGTTCCCTCTGTCAAAAAGTTATCTTCACCAGGGCAACTGGGACTCTTTGCTTCTCACCCCTTCTACCAGGCACAAATAGGACATCTTACAAAACATGAATTCTTGTATAAGGCAGTCCCCATACTGCGTCGGGGAAGAGACCTCCTCTTCAAGTTAGAAGTGACTATCTCCCTTGCACCAAGCCAATCAGCCTCCCTTTTGTCTAACCTC